CGATGTTTGGACGATGCGGGCCCCCTCTGGCCAAAAACGTACATAGAGGAGGGCCCCACTGAGGGCCTCGCCGCGCGGCACGGTGGTTGTGAAATCGGTCGGTTTAGTTACTCGCCTGGACCAGATAAACCGAGACGAGCGTGTGACTGATTCAGATGGGAAGTCCGGAGGCAATTCCTGGGAGGTCACCGCAAGAATGGCCAAGGGCTGCTAGGCCCCATTTACGGGCCACTAGGTTGGACTAGCCAATACTTGGCCAGCGACTAAACTGGATGGGCCGGAAAAAAAGATTGGGCGGACTTGATCGGAACCGCGTAGATTAGGCTGATATCCGACCAGGGTAAACCAGCACCGATGCTGAATTCAACTTCCCTGGAATTGCACCTTAAATCATTTAACAACAAGAGACTGACGCGCTGGACGTTTCAAACTCTCGAGGAAAAGGCGGCTCGCGCGTAAGTCCGGGCTGAAACACCCAAGAAACAAAACTCCACCTGTCAGACCTGGTGGCCAGATATTTGGACGGGTGCTTTTGTAGCAGAACTGTTTTCACTTTGTTTGCAACGCTCGCAACCAATCCCTGGCAAGTTACGTGGTGACGCACCCAACCCTGTCAAAACAGATGAGCGCGTTTCACGGGCGCTTGCCTTGGGAACATTCGGCGGCGCATTTCGAAGCGGCGGGTGGGCCCCCCCCAACACTCGGCGCCGTCGATCAGAACCACGGGGGCCCCCTCCTCCCACCCCCCCACCCTCCCGAACCCCCCCACCCCCTCCACCGGCGCCGGCGCTGGCGCCAGCGACGGCGGCCGCCAGCATCGCCGACGACGGGGACCCAGCGACGATGACCAGAGGCAGCCCAAGGGGGGGGGGGGGGGGGTTCCAAACCGCCCCCCCCCCCACCCCCCCGGCGCCTTCAACGGCGGGGACGCAATGACGAGTATCATCACTACCACCACCACCACTACCACCACCATTACCATCTCAACCCACCACCACAGCACTAACCCACCGCACAGCCACCACCACCACCACCGGCACAGCCACCACCACCACCACAACCACCACCACCACAACTCACCACCATCACCACCACCACCACAAAAACCGACCACCACTACCACCACCACCACCACAATCTACCACACCACCACCACCACAACCACCACCGGCACAACTACCACAACTACCAGCAGCTCAAACCACCACCACCACCACACCACCACAAACCACCACACCACCACCACCACCGCGGCCACTACCACCACCACCATCACCAACTCCACAAACCACCACCACCACCACACCACCACCACCACCACAACCACCACACCACCACACCACCACCAAACCACCAAACCACCACCACTACAAACCATCACCACACCACCACCACACCGCAACCACCACCACCAGAACAGACCACCACACCACCACCACCACAATCACCACAACCGCCACCACCACCACCACAACCCACCACCACCACCACCACCACCACCATCATCCTCGTCGACGCTCCTCGACGCCGCCGCCCGTCGCCGCAGGCGCCGGCGCCGGCCCAGAAAAGGAAGTCGTCGTCCCCGCCGCCGCCGCCAGCCGCAGCCGACGCAGGCGCCGGCCCGAGGAGAGGGAGAGGGGAAAAGTAGGGGAAAGAAAGGGGTGGGGGTTCGAACCCCCCCCCCACCCCTCCGTCACGGGAATGGGGAGGGGGGGGTTCGAACCCCCCCCTCCATCCAATGGGGGGGGGGGTCCAGTTCCACCCCCCCCACCCTCCAAGCGACCACAGAACGCGCTCTTTCAAACATATGATAGGACGCTCATTGCAAACGAATAGGTTGAAGGACCCGCAGTGCTCATAGCTCCCAGAAGTGCGCAAGAACACATGCAGGAATAAGCAAGGTAGAAACGGAGCCTAAAGCATACAGAGGGTGTAAAGGAAGAGCATTCATGTTCAGTAACCACAGCAGCGCCGAGCGATACACACGCGGGAACGAACAGCGCCATGCGCTCACGCTATAGCAACACAGCTCGTCGCGCTGAGCGAGGCACGCGCGCGGTACGGCATGGCGGGCCAGAGGCAGCTGAGGATGGAAGGCCACGCGGACAAGAAACAGCGCCATGTGCTGCGTGACGCAGCGGCTCCCTGCGAACTGCGATGCGACAGCGCCGGGCGATGCGTGACGGGACAGCGCCGCGAGGTCACAACTCCCAACTGGATCCCCGTACAACTCCACTCCGCGCGACCTCCAAGGAGTCCACGAAAATGGAGACAATTGCGCACTTCGCAGCCCCCCAAGGATCCGCGAGGTCCCAACTGGATCCCCGTACAACTCCGCTCCGCGCGACCACCCAGGAACCCACGACGATTGAGACAATTGCGCACTTCGCAGCCCCCCCAGGGAGCCGCGAGGTCCCAACTGAATCTGAGAACCACTCCACTCCGCACGACCTCCCAGGTATTCACGAAACTGGCCACAATTGCACACTTCGCAGCCGCG